ATCAATAAAAATTACATTGCGGAAGTAAAGCGATGTCGTAGCACGATGTGTTGGTATTGATTTTGAATGAATTTTAGCTTTCAATCTAAAGACTTCGTCTATCGTCAGAAAATATTTACTTACAAACAAAGAGGTGCTAATTTTACAAAATTGACTTGTATTGTTTAAAGCCGATACCACATCACGCGACTATGTCTTTTGTTTACAAATTATTATTCACGACTGGCAGGATGCTTGTCTGTCGGTACGTAAGTATGACAATAGTCGGACGCGTTTCTGTGGTGGTCGCTAATTTTGAGTGCCGGTCGGGCCGACCAGCGTGACGAAATCCCCAATGAAAAAAGCACTGTGGCGGTCTTGCTAATCACCGTGGCGGTGTCAGACCGGTGTGGCGGCAAATCGAAGCACTGTGGCGGGACCGCCACGCTGTTTACATCCTGGGGAGGGAGAACACTGATATGATGGGACCATATCCCACCAGTGTCGATTGGACTGCCATGATAATTGACAGTAATCTTTATGTTAATTGCACTTGCATGAATAACCTGTTGAAAAAGTTAATACAATTTACATACATGTATGACTGCTTATATTGAAGATGCACTTCTAATGGAGTGAATATATTTCTATGATATAACTTGTATTATGGGCATTATCAACCTTTATCCATTTCCTTGTTAGGTCCTTGTTGATGTGACTGGTGACGAGTTTGTTTCGTTCATCAAGATCCTATCTGGATTGTCCAGCATGCAGACAGTGCTTGGTCGACAACAGCTAGTAGATATAGTTGTAGAGCAAGCAGATTTAGAGTCTGAATTCCAGGTGATTGTTAAATCCATCTCTATTGATTGTGTTGTTTATTTTTAATCCTTTTGTGGATAATTACCATCATTCCTATAAGCTTTTCCAACATTTTCTTACTGGTAGACTAGTCTGTTATACAGGCAGCTGTTTCCTTGATGAGCTTTGAATTTCATCACATTTGTTTCTGAATTTGGAATAAATACTGGTCTTGTCATCCATGCTTATGATACCAAACTTAAATAGCTTCTTTGTATAAATTTGAGCAAACACATGTAATTATATGTCATGTAACGTATATAATGATATTATTTGATGATCTTGGCATGCAAATAACTGGAAATAAAATTTTGTTTAAAACCTTATTTAACTTTCAAATTTCAGTACATGCATTATCATTACATTTTACCTCACATTATTCAGTTGACTTGGTAGTATATTAAATAACATTAAAAATACAGCTCATATCTCTCTAAATGATAACATCAATATGGCAATAATTATAATTGTTACAATTCTGCTCCTAAACTAAAATAAATTCAGTGTTTCCTCAAAATTTTCTCAGGTTTGCGACTAATGTGCATATTAATTTGCATATTAATTAACATAATGTATAATTATATTTTTGTAAATAAACAAGATTTATTGTATACAGTGAAACACATTTAGTTAATTAAAATGGGATATATTACCAAAAATATATTAGTTAATATTGTTAGTAGTTTACAATTATATACAATGCATATCTGGAGTTTTGAAAAAAAATTATTACTGTGAATAGGCTCAAAACATTAAAATAGTGAAATTAAATGTCAGTGAAAATAAATGGTTTTACAGTATGTGCTTATGATGTGTGAAATAACATGTGACTTCAATTGGTAGTGCCATTGAAAAATTCCTTGTGTTATTAACAACTACCAATGTATTTACCATTGTTAAATGAATTATTGTTTTTTTCCCTAGCCATCAGATGCAGACTGTGTAGATAGATTGATGCAATGTGTTAAACAGGCACTGCCCTTTTTCTCAGTAAGTAAACAATTTTTACATTCTGTGTGAAGGTATTTTGAGACTTTAACCAGTTGATTGATACCAGTAGTTATTTGCTCTTTTACACGTACACATGATTTACTCATTTATGCAAGCTTCATTGACAACAATTGACATATGGTATTACTACTAGGGGTGACATTGATTGCTAGCACATGATTCTCAAGTCTTCATTTGACACGCACCTTTTCAAGCTATTCAGGATAATTCTATCACAAAATCTGGAGTGGGATATTTTAGTAAAGAAGTCTGGGGTAACATGTTTCTCAGAATATGCTTCTCTTTACTATTTTTACCCATGCTATTAAGATGTGTTGGTTTGCTGACAGATCCCAAGTTATCTACCGTAATGATCAGGAATTTGTACAAATATTTGTGATAGAAATATCAGGATTCATATTGTCATCTTATTTATTTCAGAAAAATGTAATGTCCACAAAGATAGTGACATACATGTGTGATCAAGTGATACCTTCCTTGTCTTTGCTGACCAATCCTGAAGAAGATGGGGACATCCAGCTGGAGATGTTACATTTATTCGCTGAACTCTGCCACTTTTCTGGGGAGCTAGAAGATGAGACTCGTGTGCAGAAAGTTTTTGAGAAATTGATAGTAAGTGTTACTCTTAATTGCTAGGTTGGTGTTAGACCTGATAGTGCCTGGGTGACAGACAGAGAACCAAATTACAACCATTCAGCATTCAGAAAAAATGACACTTGACTTTCTAAATTCAGTGGGCATTCAGCTAAGTTTAAAAATTTTGATTTTTGCAAACCTCATTCAGGCAAACACTACTACTGGTTGGGGGTGTATTGTTTATAAGTGTTTGTACGGTAACCACCACTGATTGAGCGTGACATGGTGGGCGAGGGGCTTCTTATACAAGACTGTATGTTTGTATTACGGTATATAGATTCTGGGTGTCTAGATACTTTCCTAATACTAATGGTACTGCTACAATATATCTACAAGATTTTACAACTGGTGGTTTCCTACGCTAAATTAAAGTTATTCAAAAATTCAAAACATTTCTCCTAAGTTTATGAAAAAGTTGAAAATGAAAAACATTGTTGAAATACTTGTGCACTGACTTCGCTGCATTAGCGTTTAATAAAAGTCCCTGAAATATTTCACTCTCCTTTAAAAAAACTGTAATTTAGCTTTAACGCAAATTTTCTATATGATAGGAGTACATGCCGTTACCACCAGAAGGGGAAGACGGTGAGAATGACCAAACCAGTGATGAACCTAAACTACAGTTCTCATATGTTGAGTGTTTGATGTATTCATTCCATGAGCTGGGTAGAAAGCATGCTGACTTTCTCACATCAGATGAAGCTAGACTTAAAGATTTCAGGATAAGGTAAATACAATACACTTATAAATCTGGATAATATGCTGCGTTTTGACATACCTGTCATCTTGTATGTTTCCTTCAAAATGAAAGATAACTGAGGTGTAAAGAACAGTGTTCTTCCAAAAAATTGTCTCAGGCTTGTTGCTAATTTGAATAGAAATTAATATATTGTACAATTACATTTTTTTAAAATAAATATATTTTACTGTCTACAGTGACACACATTAGTTAATTAAAATAATATATATTGCTAAAAATCTATTGTTTTATTTTGTTAATTGGTTACAATTATATACAATTCATTTCTCGTATTTACCATTTTTATTTAAATGTGATGATTGATCCTAAATTACTTCTCAATTTCATCCATGTTTTCAACTAGTCTTGGTTGGCCGAATATAACTCTTGTGTATATTTTGATAATTCTAGTCTAGCCTAGTGTTGTTGTCATATTTGCTTTCAACTTTTAAATGCAACAAACTATTTCTTTCAGTCAGTGGCAATTGCCAATGCTGTTTTTTTGTTTTGTTTAACATTTTAATGAATGAACACTGGAACTAGTAAAAGTTCATAACATGGTTGACAATAAAACTTATAGATTAGCTTAGTAGAAGTAGTATGTCTTCAGAGTTGTGGTCATCCAGTCAGAGTTGCGGGAAAACTGTCAGAGTATCAACGTAAAACACTGTGTAGCAGTCCTGCTACTGTAAAGAGGTTTATTTTTGCAGTGTTAAAAATTCGTGCATTCCTAATTTCGGCGGCTTAGCGATGTAATAAATTCGCACGACAGAGGTTTCTCTAACTAAGCAGCAAACATCTTGCCCATTTCCTTCCCACTTTGTAAACAATGCGTAAGTGGCAAAACAGATGATAAGCGGAAAATTACTGCATTGTTTGCATCGACTGCTTCAGGTGATTTTTTACTACCTCAGATATTATATCAGGGGAAAACCGATCGTTGTCACCCGGGCTACAATTTTCCCGATGCTTGGCAGTGTTCGAAATTAACTGAAAATCATAACAGGCCCGAAGGACCTATGTCAAATTAAAACTGTAGGTCCTTCTAGCTAACTGTAGGCCCTGGTATTTAACAAACAAAGACTAAACGGATAATACAAGCTTGCAATTGCAAAACCTTTATTTACTAATTAATCAGATATATTTTCTGCAGCCTCAAAGAGGTCATCATCATTTCTCATTTCTTTCATCGTCACTAAACTCATCAAAATCTTCAGAAAAAACACTGTCATGATCACTGGCCGACTCTGAATCTGACATGCATTTTGCATCGTGTTCACAATCATTGGCGTCAGCCTCAGCTTCTACAAGGATCAATTCTGCTGCACGACAGCTGACCGTAGGATCCTTGACAAGGCCGGCAATACATCACCTTGTTGTTGTTATCAAAAAGTAACCAGTCTTTGAACTCCGCCTGCCAGCTAACTTGGAATGTGCGCGGTTTACGCCTAGGCCGTTCGTATCCTTGTTGTTTGTCACGCCTTTCTTGTA